TAATCTTGATAAATTAGACCAGGAACTATCATTTCCGCTCGCCGAAACCCTTCCTGCTTGCTCTGGCCCGCACCTGGCCCGGCACCCACATCCATTTTTCTCTTTCCCATTAAGGCGTCCTTCCGGGATCGGCTTGTCTCAAAGTCAAATTAAGCAAGAAAATGAGTTTTCGGAGCAGTCTCTCCGTGTTTGCACCGAAGAGAGAAGCTGGCTGAGAACCTCCCCCAGGAACCCGTGGTCCTGGGGGGGCGGAGTCTTTCTACCACTGCCCCAGCCTAAAGGGGTGGGTGGGGGGGCCTCCTTGGCGGGAGGGCACAACCAGACTCTGGAAAGCTCTGTAGCCCAGAGGCAGGGCGAGCTTGGCCTGGGCCACCCCTGCAGGCTCTGGAGACCCATGATCAATGGACAGCATTTGGTGATTCCTCATTTGGGTGGGTCAAGGCTGTGGAGAGGGGTGCTGTGAGGCGGCCCCCTGGCACGGCACCCCCCACTCAGGGGGTGGATGGGGAGGTGGAGGGGCTGCACAGGTGATGAGAGGAAGATGTGGAGCAGGAGCGGGCCCTTGCCAACCTTTCCTGCCTCCTCCAGCAGTCTGCAGCCTGGGCCGGAGCGGAAGGTCAAGAGCTTACCCAGCCAACCAAAGCCAAGCGTGCTGCGCGAGTCGATGCTGACTCACAGCAACCCTGCCTACAGGGCAGGGTGGAAGAGCCCCTGCGCATTTCTGAGACGGTCACTCTTTAAGGAAGTAGAAGTAGACTCCCGTCTTCCTCCTGTGGAGCTGGGGGCTTGGACAGCACAGGAACCCTGGTGCTAGAGTTGGTTGGTGGGGTTTCAACACACACAAAATAGTGACAAGCTGCCCAGGACCTGGGACGTAGTCTCGTCACCGATCTTGGGCTGGGCTCATGTCAATCACGAGGAAAGCGATTTGCTGGTGACACGAGGGAAGCGGGGGTTCACTATTGGGTGTGGGGCACCCGGTGTAACTCAGGTCACCTCTGGGGTGCAGCCTTGCCTTCTGCCTGTCTCCCACCTTCTTAAGCTACTCTGGCCAAACCTGCATGAGGCCCTTGGCCCACGTCTGTCACGGGTCGGAAGAAAGATGACATCCATCGTAGGAAATGAAAACAGGAGCCCTGTTGGCAGCAAAAGGCTCCGTGCTCTCCGACTACCTGCGACAACGTTCCTGGAGACGTTGAACAGAAAGGCTGACAACCTGCTTAAAGTAACAAAATCACACTGCTGCCCCCCCGCCCCCAGGGATTTTCTGGTGAAGACACGGTACCCGTCTCTGGCTAGCTCGCCTGGTCCTGCCGGGTCACTCTCCGTCCGCGGGCTCTCCCCACGCATTCGGAGCTGCGAGAGGACATGGCTGCCAACACTCACGGCACTCCGGTGGCCTGGAATTTCCATGGGCGAGTCCCTCGGTCTCAGCTCGAGGACCCACGGCGGCTGTCATCGCCATCATGGTTGGCACTAAAGGTTTCTACTATTCATAACAGAATCGGCACCCATGTCTCACAGCAGCCGGGGCAGCGCTTGGCTGGGTACCTGCTTCTCTCTCTATGAACATACCTCATCTTCAGGACAGTCCTGCTGCGGGTTGCAGGGCTACTATCTCGACTTCCCAGATGCAGAATCTGCAAAACGGGGAGGCTGAGGGCCTGGCAGCGGGACCGGAGGGTGACGTGCCGCCAGTCTAACGGAAGGCAGATGAATTGATTCAGAAACGTTCTATTTTTCATGTTTCATGTCATTCTGCATGATGTAGCGCTGCCCCCCAGCAACGCCAGTGGTGGAGTGTCTCTGGGGCTGCGGGGTTCGGTAAGGTGGGAGCACACAGGTAGTTCCAACAGCACTGGGACACTCCAACTCTTCAACTGGGGAGAGGGCCCACGAGTTCTCACGTGACGGTCATGCTTCACAACGAACACGTCACCGCGCTCTGCATATATGCCACAGGTGCGCCCACCACCTGTCTAGGTGACATTCGTGATCGACGAGGGGTGACATGGAGAATGGGCTCAGAGAGAAGTGTTTCCTTCTGTTGTATGGAGGTCGCTACCCGCCGGAACAACTGGAGGGCACCTAACAACAGCAGCGCGGTCACACAGCTGCCAGGATTGAAAATGCATCAGCAGTTCAACAGCGCCCCTGCTGGTGAGAGGG